TAGTAGGAGCATGAGAAAGGGTTGTATTCTGGATATATTTTGTAGGTAGAGCTAATAGGACTTGTTGACAGATGCAATGAGGGTATGAAAGAAAGGGAGGAGTTAAGGGTGACTCTGAAGTTGTTGGAAGGCTGGGGCTGTCTTGCGCTCCATGCCCTCCCAGGTAGTAGAACATGGGGCAGCAGATTTGGACATGCCAGGATTGAGGGGCTGGTTAGACACCAAGTGAGGATGAGCAAGCTTGAGTTCTGGCTGGATGTAAACAATCTGACGGTGTTTGGAGCCAGGACACTGGAGGAGACGCCCACTGGGGTGAATGCAGGTAGAGCAGGGGCAGCCAGGGACAGAGCCCTGGGGCACTGCAAAGCTAAGAATTCACCAAAGCATCCCACCTCCTTTTTTAAACCTAATTTCCTAGGCTGTATTTAACAAATCTTGTTATTTTCAGTTCTATAAACCTCCTATATTCTTCTTAGAACAAGTCAAATACATTGAAACCAGTGCTGTAGCAGTGACATCACGTCATCCACTTAAGAAATCCTTATTGAGAGCCCGTTATGTGTGGGCTTTAGGAGCTGGGGATAACCAGCCAGCCTCTGGCCCCGAGAAGCTTCTGTCACCGTTGAGGAAAATGACACAACTTGACATGGAAGTAAACACACCAGATAAATTCAAATTGCAGCAGGGGCTGTGAAGAAACTAGAATGGATAAAGGAGGAGAAGGTAATTCAGGACAGGAACGGTGGTTTCACTGAGGACATGTTCTTTGAACTGAAACCAAGGTGATGAGAAGGAGGCACTCCATATTTGGAGGAGGAAGGAGAGTTCCAGGCCGAGGGAGCAGCCAGTGTCAGGACCTGAGATGGGAACGAGCTAGGCTACCTTGGGATGACAGAAAGTAGAGAGCTGGTGTGGCGGGGATGCAGTGAAAGGGGGAGCCGTGTAGGGGACAAGGTCAGAGAGGTGGGCAAGGGGCTGGGCGGTCCAGGTTGAGTCTCGCTGGCCTGGCAAGAACATTGGGTTTTATTTCCCAGCAGGCGAGTGGTGGTGGCCTGTGGTTCATCCTGACTACTGAGTGCAGCACGGCCTGTAGAGAAGCAGGGAGACTGGCATGGCCGGGGGCGGGGCGATGGGGCGTGTGACAGGGAATGAAGACAGAAATGGTACAAGTGGGGGAGGGGCTCTGGTGTCGTTTGAAGGCATGGCTGACGGACAGCATGAAGGAGGAGGAAAGTCAGGGATGACTCCTAGGTTTTGGCTTGAGCAACTGAATGGATGTTGGCACAGGTTACAAGATGGGGCAAACTGGAAGAGGGCCAGGCTGGGGGGAGAAATGAAGAGTTCCACTATGACTCTGACTGTGAGATGACGTTAAATTTGAGATGCCTGTTAGCCGCTTTGCAATTCTGCATGTTGTCTACAAAGGAAGTCACACATTCATTCAGTTAATATTTGTTGAATTAGTGAACGCCAACCCTTTTTGGATGAGGGAGGCCAGGCTGGGAGTTAAAGATTGGCGATTAGCGTCAGTGATGATGCTAACATAATACCTTAGGAAGCAGTGTCACCGATGTCATTGTGACCAGTCATCTGGGAACGATGATCTCTCTTCATAGGTGAAGGATCTATGTCAGAGTCTGCAGGACCAATGTGCCCACCCCAGGGGCAGATCCAGACCCTGTACCTGTGCTTTTTCCACTATCCCACACCGCAGGCCCCCGAGAGAGCTGTCACAGAACATCCCACATGATGTGGAAACAGCCGTGGCCCTTGGGCACATGGTGGGTAACTCTGGCCAGTCAGAAGCTGCGGACCCAGTTCCAGCCTGAAGTGGTCAGGGCCATCAGTAGGCAGCACAAAGCCGGCCAGGGCTTCCAAACAGGCCTGACCCAGCTCTGTGACAAGAGCAACGTGTCACCCTCAGGCAAGGCTCCTCTCCTTGTCGCTGAGTCAGAAACATCGTGGGGGAAGGTTGGCTCAGGCTTCGGGAATGGAATCCAGGCCAGGTTTCTTCTGCAGGAGCCAGGCCTCTTCTCTGGGCAGTTGGCTTCACTGGAGTTAATTAATGAGGGGGCAGGAGGGGTGGGCATGGCCCCTTGTCCAAGACTATAGCCTCTCATGTCCCGGTTTCCAAATTTACAATCTCACAACCCAGTTTGGCATTCCCTTTAAGAAAATTTATTTTTGTAAATGTTCACGTCAAAGGTAGAAATATAGATATTTACTTTGCAGATGAAAGTGATATATATCAAATAATAACTGTAACGGTGAGTCTCAAATTTAAGCATAACAATCAGTGGGGAGAAGAGGTGGTATCTTAGTTCACTTGGGCTGCAGTAACAAAATACCACATATCTGGTAGCTTATAAACACCATAAATTTATTTCTCATGGTTCTGGAGGCTGGGAAGGGAAGTCCAAGATCAAGGTGTCAGCATGGTCATGTTCTGTTGAGCGCTCTCTTCCTGGTTCATAGCTGGTACCTTCTCTCTGTCTTCACATGGTAGAAGGGGCTAGGGATCCCTCTGAAACCTCTTTTATAAAGGCACTAATCCCAGTCATGAGGCTCCACCTTCATGACCTAAGCACCTCCCAAAGGCCCCACCTCCTAATACCATCACATTTGGGGGTTAGGATTTCAACATATGAATTTGGGGGGACACAAACATTCTAACCATAGCAGACAGTATTGTGAAGTGATTAAGAGCTTGAAATCTGAAGCCAGACTGCCTGCATTTGACTCCAGACTCTATTACTTACTAGTTATGTGCCTTTGGGAAAGTTTCTTCATCTCTTTGTACCTCAGTTTATTCATCTGTAAGATGGGGGGTAATAAGAGTACCCAATCATAGATTGTACTGAGGAATAAATGAGTTAATTAATGTCAAGTACTTGGAATAGTGCCTGCACATAGTATTCTATAGGTAAAAGCTATTATTAATAATAGTATTGTTTTTATAGCTAGATGACTTGTTAAAAATGCCAAGTCCAGAGTCATACACATAGAGTTTCTGTTTCAGTGAACCCCACTGAATTTTTGTGAATTTTTCACAAGCACTACAAGAGATTTTTGATGCAACGGGAACCAAGTGACACTTTGAGAAACCCTGGACTATAAGACAAACATGGGCATCCAGGAACAGGGCAAGGTGTGATGTGCTACAGAGAGAAAAATGGGAGTAAAGAATAATGTACTCTTCCCTGATTCATAATTTCATACTCTTCAGTGTGCTGTGTTTAGAAAAGAATCCACTGAGCTCTTGCAATGGACACAAAGAGAGTAATTTAACAGTACTATTGATTTTTCCCTATTACTTTCTTTTGATATATCTCCCACCACCAGATTCTTTAATTGAGATATAATTCACATACCATAAAACTCAACATTTTAAAGTGTGCAATTCAGTGTTGTTTAGTATATTGGCAAAGTTGTGCAATCGTCTCCACTACCTAATTCCAGAATATTTTCATCACTATCCACCGAGAAAGAAAAATATACCCATTACAGTCACTCCGCAGTCTCTTCTCCTCCCAGCCCCTGGCAACCACTAATCTCCTTTTTGTTTCTATGGACTTGTCTCTTCTGGACCTCACAATATATGGCCTATAGGCTTCTTTCATTTAGCCTGCTTTCAAGGCTCATCCATTTTGTGGCATGTATCAGTAGTTTTGTGGTTTTTTTCCTAGCTAAGTAACCGTCTATTGTATGGGTATATCACATTGAGTTTACCCGTTCATCAGTCGATAGGCATTTAGGTTGTTTCACTTTTCTGGCTATTATGAACCATGCCGCAATGAAATTTGTGTACACATATTTGTGTAGACTGATGCTTTCATTTCTCTCGAGTATATACCTAGGAGTAGAGTTGCCTGGTCCATATGGTAACTCAATGTCAGATTTTTTTAAGAACTGTTTTCCGAAGCAACTTCACCATTTTACACTCCCACTAGCAATGTGTGAGAGTTTCAATTTCTCCACATCTTCACCAATACTTTTCTGTATAATGTCTCTTTTATTTTAGCCATCCTAGTGTGTGTGAAGTGGTATCTCATTGTGGTGTTGATTTGTATTTTCCTAATGATGTTGAGCACCTTTTCATCTGTCACTTTCTGGTCCTGCCAGGTTTTGGGTCCCCAGGCTGGGGCTATCAGGACATGATGGCATTTACAACAGTGCTGTTGACTCCTTCCTATCAAGCCTAAAGAGGTGCATATTTTATCAGAGTATGAGCAAAATCTAGGCTCTTTCTGCAACAGATGTGGTTTTTGCCTGAGAGCATAGCAAAGGAAATTAACAGCAAAAAAAGTTTTAAAATGATTGATATTTCACAAACTGAGTAGCTAAAGAAAATAAACTAACATAAATAAGGTATAGGAGAAACTCTATTGGAAGAAATTTTATTATTTAAATACTTTCTAGAAAGATATTTACTTGCAGTGAAACCCACTGGCCTGCCTTACCCTCCTGTACATGATGAGTGGCACCACTGTCCCTGTGGACAAATGTCACCTGCCATTTCAGTAAACAAAGGTTGTTGCGGCCATAAAGGCATCAGCCACTGCAGCTGACCCAATAGTGCATTCTGAGGGGAATTTCAGATGGAGAAAAACTGGATACTGGCCCTAGTTAAGATGCATATGGAAGGAATAATTTCAATGAGCCCAGACTTTTGTATCTTCTCATACACAGAAAAGCACTAAAATCATTAACTTGAGATGTCTGGGGTTTTTTGTGATTAGCAGTAATCTTTTTTTTTTTTTGCGGTACGCGGGCCTCTCACTGTTGTGGCCTCTCCCGTTGCGGAGCACAGGCTCCAGATATGCAGGCTCAGCGGCCATGGCTCACGGGCCCAGCCGCTCCGCGGCATTTGGGATCTTCCCGGACCGGGGCACGAACCCGTGACCCCTGCATCAGCAGGCAGACTCTCAACCACTGCGCCACCAGGGAAGCCCAGCAGTAATCTTTTGATGTTCGACTACACAGGGATTTTGTTTGTTTGTTTGTTTTTGTTTTTGTTTCTAGCAAAAACTCCTGTATATCCTGGCTCCTCCCTTACCTCTTTGGAACAGTCCCTCAGGGCTATCTGAGAGGCTGCCATCCTGGGCTATAGTTCTCAGTAATGCCCCAGATAGAACATAATTGTCAACTTTTAGGTCGGACATTATTTTTCAGTTGACACCCCGGACATCCAGTGACCCCGTAATATGAAAAAATAAACAGGCATTTTCTTGGAACTAGGAGTTAAATTTCCTTCAGGGAGATCTCATGATCTAACCCACCCACAGGATGTTTCCTGACTGCTGAGGGGTTTATGTAGAGTCCTCAGTTTCTCAATCATAAGAATTTCTAAGTGTTCCCAGTCTGCAGTCTGGGGATTAGAAGGCTAAATTCCTGGGGGCCTGGAAAGGGGAGTATATCACTAAGAATCTCTAAGCCTAAACTTGCCGGGAAATGGACTCGATTTTCACTTATGGTGCAAACCAAGAATTCCCTAAAAATGAGATGGCAAATCCAGTGGGACTCCTACCGAGAATATTCTGGGAGGTTCCAGAACCTTTGTCGTTGCTTGGGAAATTCGGTTCTAAACTTAAATGTCCCCTCTCCAGGCACATTCTGTCATCCTGTGAGTGTCATGATGCATCACTCTGCTTTTTAGAGCTTACAGTCGTAGAAATCTCAAACCAAGGCAGATTTTTAAAAAAAGAAGTTTGCAGTTGTTTACACAAAATTCTGTTCTCTGAGGGAGTTGTGTCAAAACCTGAGTGTTAGAACATCTTTGCCACTCTGGAAAGCAGCTAACTGGGGAGACAATAAGAGAAGAAAGGAGGGCCAGTGACAGCTGCTGTAGGTGGCATTTGTATATTTTTTAAAAGGTCCAGCCTTTACCACTTTGTGGCTATGTGGTTTGGGAAAATTACTTTCTATGAACCTCCATTTCTTCCTCTGAAAAACCAAGATAAGGCTACTTACCTCAAAAGGGTGATTTGAGACATACATAAACAATGAAGAGAGCACTTGCATTGTTTTGTTTTTCTCCTCAAACTTTTCCCAGACCCCAACCCCAAACCAGGGAATAATTCCAGGCATTCAGAAGGTATTCTATTTTCTTAGATGAAACAAATCCAGTTTTCTGGTTGAATAAAATATGGAATAGATGAGTGCATTTGGTCATTTAACAAATATTTACTGGGTGCCTCTTATGTTCCAGAGACTGTTCTACGTACTGAAGAGATAGCTGTGAACAAAACAGATAAAAATCCATGCCCTCATGCAGCTTCCATGCTAGAAAGGAGAGAAAGACTCTAAATAATAAATCATGAAAACGAAATGGATGTTAACTAGAGGTGAACGTTATAGACAAAAATAAACCAGGGGAGGAGAATGCAGAGTGGCAGGAGTGAGGTGAGGCTAAAGATGGGTCAGGGTATTCTCTCTCTCTCTCTCTTTTTTTTTTTTTTTTAGATACTTAAAAGTTATTGAAGTGTAGCATACACATAGAAAAGTCATGAGTGTACAATTCAGTGAGTTATTGCAAGGTGAAAATATAAGCGTGCCCAACATATACAATATAACCAGAACCTCAGAAGGCTTCCTTAAGATACTTCTCAATCACTCCTCCTTCCCTCTTCCCTAAAGGTCAGTACTATTCTGATCTCTAATAAAATAGATTAGCTTTGCCTGTCTTTAAACTCTAGATAGTGGAATCATCAGAGGGTCGGGGTATTCTTGAGGGCTCCACTTTACAGTTCCAAAGGCTGGATTCTTTGGGGGTGAGTTAGCCTTCCAGGGCTCATTTCTAAAGAGGCGTCATCTTCCAGCTCAGTGGTCACTCTGGCCCCAGGTACCCAGCAGACAGGCTCAGGATCGAAAGCTAGGCAGCAGTTGTGAGGATGAGTACCGACCAGATGGGCACATGGAAGGAGACTCTGGGGCAGTGCTCATTGCCCCAGGGAATTAGATCACATTGGGAAAGATTCTCCACCTTGGCTCTGTCTAAAATGTCCTGCGCTGTGTTTCCTTAAACAGCACTGGACAGAGACCAGTTTCTCACACTTCAAAGCCCTTCCCTGTTTGCATTGCACAAGTGACACATTCCTGTCCAAAATCATCCAGACAAACAGCTGCTAATTTCCTAGCAACACTGCCCTAGCCATTCTTGTATGGAATGGAATTAATCCTGGCATAGAAATAGAAGTTTATATTCCAGAAAAAAAACCTTTCAAAATTCCTTCTCCCTGTCTGCCCTAATCCATCCCCAGGGACCATCTTGGACCAAGCTCAGCAGGGAGTTCCCTCAGCAGCTTGAAAGCCCTGACTGTGTGATAGCTTTGTCGGGAGGACTCACAGAAATGCTAGTATTCACAACACTCGCATTTGTGTAGAGCCTCCATGGGCTGTTTCTTGACTTCACGGAATCATCAGTTTCTCCCTTATGACAAGTTTAATAGGAAGTCTGAGCAAGCCTACAGAAAGTGATTTAGAATCACATAATGTCAGGGTAGAAAGGCCTTACCCAACTGTCTGGTGGAGGACGGAAAGTAGGTTATATCCTGCACTTGTTCCAATGCTTGGTGTTGGCTCCCTGTAGCATGTCTGTGAAGGAGTCTCAGGCAGCTGGGTGGGAAAGGAAGTGATGGGTGATTGATTAGCAATGTCTGGCATGGATGAGATGCGGTAAAGGAGCGCGCCCCTTGGGTATTTACCATGCCTGATCTAGGGCCGGCTTCTCATTTTACAAATGAGGGAACTGAAATTCAGAGAGTTGAGGTGCCCCCATCAAGACTGTACCCCAGTGAGAAGCAGAACTGGACTCCAAATCCAGCCCTTTAGTTTTCCATCTGGGTATGTTTTTCAACACCAACTCTTTTGCTTTCTATCATAAGGTCTGAAGAGGGCTGGTTTAGTGAGGCAAGGAGAGACCAGGGAGCTGGCTGGCTCTATCTAATGCCTGACACACGGCTCACGGGAATCAGCTGCTCTGGTGGTCTCTGCCTGGTTCCTGCTCCCTATCTCCCCTCCCAGCAGGACTGCATGCCTCAAGCTATTGTGGACCCAGAAGGAAGAACGAGGGGTCCTCCCAATGTAGAAATCTACAGTGATGCCCACGGGCCTGAATTCCTGATCCAGAGCCTGAAGTTATTCCCTTCTCCCTGTAATTACAGTATATTGCCCTCATCGTTCTTACCATCCCAGTTTGGGTGGGCTTAAACTTCTAATGGTATGCACAGAAATGCTTTTAGTTTTCGCTCAGAGTAATATTGACACAAATTGCATTTACTTCTATTTTAAAACTTAGCCTTGCTGGCTAAGAATAACTGATTTATTTGGTGAGAAAAGACATTTGTATGTGGATGTCACTAGAAGGGAAAAGGGACCACAGAGGTTTTTTGTTGTTGTTGTTTGTTTTCATTTTAACTTACCAAGAGAAAAGCTTTCTTTTAAAAATAAAATAAAATAATCCCTGGCTCAACTGATAATATTTGCCTTTTCTTTTGGCCCAGGACCTGGTCTTACGCCAAGCTCCATGTTGGTCGTTACCTCCTCCTGAAATGCTCTGCCTTCTCGCCTGGCAAACGTTGTTCTCCCCTTTTGTGTCTAAAGTTCTCCTTTTCCTAGGGGTAAGAAGAAAAAAAATTATTTAGTTCAATAAACACTTACCGAGCACCTTCAGTGTGTCAGGTACTGTACTCGGCACTCAGGACTCAAAAATGAAGACACTAAGCCCCCTGCCCTTGGGAAATTTAACTGGAACTTGGAATGAGACAGAGAAACACAATGCTGAGCCTTGTGCCCTGTTATCTCGTTTCATCTTCAACCTAAATGTACTCTTCTGGTGGTCACGGGCTGTTTCTCTTGTTCTCCACTCTGTCCTCAGCACCAAGCACAGAGCCTGGCACATGGTGCTGGGAAAGACTATAACTCATTGAATAACTGTCCTTAAAACCACCCTAAAATGCAGGCATTTTTCCCCTTTTACAGAGAAAGAACTGAAGTTGACAGAGACTAAGTAACCCCTCCTGAGGTCTCCTAGGAGTGATGACTTTGGTCATTTGTTTCCAAACCCTTGGCTTTTTCCTCCCTTATACTACCCCACACTACACTTTTCTAGACCCAGTTTTCTCATCTGTAAATTCAGAGGAGCAGACTGGATGATTCTACGATCCCTCCAAGCTCTAAATTTCATAGCCAATGACCAACGCTGGTACTAGAATGCATATACTCATTTTCTCCGAGAGGGTTTTTATGTGTTGTTGTTTTTAACATGCATTTCTTTTGCCCTTATTATACCACCAGCTCTTGGATCTTAATATTTCATTTTATAACCTATTTGTAGCACCCTCAGATCTATGTTTGATGCTCAAAGACTTCTCATTTTTTAAAGTTCATGACTCCCTATAAACCTGCCTTATCTATGCTAAGGAAACCATACACGCTTCACTTCCCAACACCAGATGTTTTTTTCGCCTGTTTTGTCTCAGAAACAGCAGCAAGCTTTGAGTGCTCTGTAACAGGCCTCAAAGAATCTCATGCCTTAGGATGCAGAAAATATTTATTGAAAATGACGATTCCTGATTTTCTAGGGAAAAACACAGACTTTAAAATTTTGTGGGATCATAAAAAATCCATTGCATTTTTATACACTAACAATGAAAAATCAAAAATGAAATTAAGAAACAATTCTAGTTATAATAACATCAAAAAGAATAAAATACTCAGGAACAAGTTAGCAAAGGAAGTGCAAGACTGAAAATTTTAAAACATTGTTGAAGAAAATTGAAGATCTAAATACGTGGAAAGATATCCCATGTTTGTGAACTGGATTAATACTGTTAAGTTGGTCACACTTCCCAAATTGATTTACAGATCCAACACAATCCCTAGCAACAACCCACCTGGCTTTTTTTTACAGAAATCGATGAACATACTAAAACTAATATGGAAATGCAAGGGACCCAGGATACCCAAAACAATCTTGAAAAAGAAGGGCAAAGTTAGAAGACATACTTCATGATTTCAAAACTGCAAAGCTACAGTAATAACGACAGTGTAGTACTAGAATAAGGATAGACATATAGATTTGTGGAATAGAATTGAAGGTATAGAAGTAACCTCTTACATTTACAACCAATTGATTTGGACAAGGATGTCAAGACAATTCAATAGGGGAAAGAGTAGTCTTTTTTTTTTAATTTTAGAATTTTATTTTATTTATTTGTTTATACAGCAGGTCCTTGTTAGTCATCAATTTTATACACATCAGTGTATACATGTCAATCCCAATCGCCCAATTCATCACACCACCATCCCCACCCCCCACTGCTTTCCCCGCTTCGTGTCCATACGTTTGTTCTCTATTTCTGCCCTGCAAACCGGTTCATCTGTACCATTTTTCTAGGTTCCACATATATGCCTTGATATACGATATTTGTTTTTCTTTCTGACTTACTTCACTCTGTATGACAGTCTCTAGATCCATCCACGTCTCTACAAATGACCCAATTTCGTTCCTTTTTATGGCTGAGTAATATTCCATTGTATAAATGTACCACTTCTTCTATATCCATTCGTCTGTCAATGGGCATTTAGGTTGCTTCCATGACCTGGCTATTGTAAATAGTGCTGCAATGAACATTGGGGTGCATGTGTCTTTTTGATTTATGGTTTTCTCAGGGTATATGCCCAGTAGTGGGATTGCTGGGTCATATGGTAGTTCTATTTTTAGTTTTTTAAGGAACCTCCATACTGTTCTCCATAGTGGCTGTATCAATATACATTCCCAACAATAGTGAAAGAGGGTTCCCTTTCCTCCACACCCTCTGCAGCATTTGTTGTTTGTAGATTTTCTGATGATGCCCATTCTAACTGGTGTGAGGTGATACCTCATCGTAGTTTTGATTTGCATTGCTCTAATAATTAGTGATGCTGAGCAAGTTTTCATGTGCTTCTTGGCCATCTGTATGTCTTCTTTGGAGAAATGTCTATTTAGGTCTTCTGCCCATTTTTGGATTGGGTTTTTTTCTTTTTTTTTTTTATTGAGCTGCATGAGCTGTTTATATATTTTGGAGTTTAATCCTTTGTCCGTTGATTCATTTGCAAATATTTTCTCCCATTCTGAAGGTTGTCTTTTCATCTTGTTCGTAGTTTCCTTTGCTTTGCAAAAGCTTTGAAGTTTCATTAGGTCCCATTTCTTGATTTTTGTTTTTATTTCCATTACTCTAGGAGGTGGATCAAAAAAGATCTTGCTGTGATTTATGTCAAAGAGTGTTCTTCCTATGTTTTCCTCTAAGAGTTTTATAGTGTCCGGTCTTACAGTTAGGTCTGTAATCCATTTTGAGTTTATTTTTGTGTATGGTGTTAGAGAGTGTTCTAATTTCATTCTTTTACATGTAGCTGTCCAGTTTTCCCAGCACCACTTATTGAAGAGACTGTCCTTTCTCCCTTGTATATCCTTGCCTCCTTTTTCATAGATTAGTTGACCACAGGTGAGTGGGTTTATCTCTGGGCTTTCTATCCTGTTCCATTGATCTATGTTTCTGTTTTTGTGCCAGTACCATACTGTCTTGATTACTGCCGCTTTGTAGTATAGTCTGAAGTCAGGGAGTCTGATTCCTCCAGCTCCACTTTTTTCCCTCAAGACTGCATTGGCTATTCGGGGTCTTTTGTGTCTCCATACAAATTTTAAGATTTTTTGTTCTCGTTCTCTAAAAAATGCCATTGGTAATTTGATAGGGATTGCATTGAATCTGTAGATTGCTTTGGGTAGTATAGTCATTTTCACAATATTGATTCTTCCAATCCAAGAACATGGTATATCTCTCCATCTGTTTGTGTCATCTTTAATTTCTTTCATCAGTGTCTTATAGTTTTCTGCATACAGGTCTTTTGTCTCCCTAGGTAGGTTTATTCCTAGGTATTTTTTTCTTCTTGTTGCAATGATAAATGGGAATGTTAAAGAATAGTCTTTTAACAAATGGTACTAGGACAAGTGTATATCCACATGCAAGAGAATGAAATTGGACTCCTAGCTCATACCATGTACAAAAATTAACTCAAAATGACCAAAAACCTAAATATAAGAACTAACATTATAAAACTCTTAGAAGGAAACATAGGTGTAAATTTTCATGACCCTGGATTGGGTAATGGTTTCTTATATGTGACACCAATAACACAAGCAACCAAAGGCAAAAAATCGACAAGTCGGACTTCATCAAAATTGAAAACTTTTATGCTTCAAAGACACTATGAATAAAGTAAAAAGACAAGCCAAAGAATGGGAGAAAATATTTGCAAATCATATATCTGATAAGGGTCTAATATCCAGAACATATAAAACCACAATTTAAAAATAGGCCAAGGATTTGAATAGACATGTCTCATAAGACGATACATAAATGTTCAATACGCACATGAAAAGATCTTCAACATCATTAGTCATTAGGGAAATATAATCAAAACTATAATAAGATGCCACTTCATGCACATTAGGATGACAATAATAAAAATGACAATAACAAGAATAATGAGGACGAGGGAGATTGGAACCCTCCTTCATTGGTGGTGGGAATGTAAAATAGTGCAGTTCCTTTGAAAAACAGTTTAGCAGTTCCTCAGAAAGTTCAACACAGAGTTACCATATGACCCAGCAATTCCACTCCTAGGTGTATATATATGAAAATATTTGATCACACAAACTCTTACACAGGAATGTTCAGAGCACTATTATAGCCAGAAAGTAGAAATAGCCCAAATTTCAATCAACTGATGAATGGATAAGCCAAATATGGTACATCCATGCAATGGAATACTATTTGGCAATAAAAAAGGTGAAATATTGATTCATGCTACAACATAGATGAACCTTGAAAACATTATGGCAAGTGAAAGAAGCCAGTCACAAAAGAGCACATATTATATGATTTCATTTATAATTACTGTACAGAATAGACAAATCTACAGAAACAGAAAAGAGAATAGTGTTTGCCAGGGGCTGGGGAAGTGAGGAATGGGGGTGACTGGTAACGGGTACACGTTTTTGCAGGGGAGTGGTGAAGAAAAGATTCTGGAAATGAATCGTGGTAATAGTCGTACAACTTTGTGAATACACTAAAAACGACTGAATTTTACACTTTAAAGGGGTGAATATTATAAAATATAAATTATATTTCAATAAAGCTGTTTAAATTTTATGGGACCAAAGAAATTCAATAGGGAAATGAGAGGCTAATGGAGAAACCCGGGCTAGCCCCCATTCTTAGCACCCAGAAGGCTCCCACCACCACTGTGGCAACAGTCACAGCCACAGAAATAAACCTGCATGGATCCTTAAATGTTGTCTACTTAGCTATTGATTCTTCAACCGCCTCTATAATATTCCCACCAGGTGATCATCTAGCCTATGCTTGACTAGGCTCTTTTTCTTCCTCTCCAAGCATTTGTTGAATACGTACTATGTGCCCAGCTCTGAGCTAAGCACTGCGAATATACTTTGCAATGTTGTCTCTTTAATGTAATAAACATTTATTTGAATATTGTAATGTGTAAGACATTTTACTGGTTTATATTCCTTTGTGTTTATTGATACCTGTTTTAGTTTGGGTTCTCCCAGAAG